CATTCTATGCAAATAAATACATAATTTACAAAAAATAAACTTAAAGCGTTGCTTATTTTTAGATGTACATACCATTAATTATTTTCTTCATTATTTATCATTCTATTCATATTGTAATAAGTTCAAGTCTTCCTTCACCAGAATTACATATCGACTATGGTGGTCAAGCATTGACTGCTTTAAAACATCTATTAAATTTTTTTGAATCTGATGTAAATGATTTAAATCTTGATGGTTTATATGGTTTACGTATAGCACAAGGACAATTAGATGCTCTTCATGAAATTTTAAATTCATCATCAAATAAAACAAATCATCGTTTTATAGATAAAAATAAACATATCTATTCATTATCGAGACAAATTGAACGTATAGCAAATAAAAATTTACTTGTACTAGCTAATACAACATCTTCATATTTACAACGATTTTTACTTATTGCATCAAAACCATTTCGACTTGAATATGAATTAAGAAAAATAAAGAAAAAGCTATTTGAACATGGTTCGCGAAGTTCAGATTTTAATGAAGAAGTATCTGATTCTTGTTTTGCTGAATTACTTGGTTCAAATGATCAATATAATTCAACACAATGTTTTGTAACACAATCATGTTGGAATATGATGACAGCATCAATGACTAAAGATTATTGTTTAACACATCAATTATTATGGTTTTTAGTTGCAAAAAATATTGGTTGTATTGATAATCGTTTAATATCAAATCTTGCAAATAAAAATTTAAAATATTTAGAAGATCAATATTGTTCAAATATATATCAAGATGCTGAATTAAATGTAGATGATAATGATAATCAAGATTTATTTCTTGAAGAATTATTATTATGTTCAATTATTGGTTATGAAGAATTTTTACGTTTTGATTGGTTTAATAAAATTCTTTCATGGCAAAATTCAGAATATGGATGTTTTACTGGAACATCAAATTCAATAGAATCAAATTTAAAAGCTAAAAGACATCTATTAGTTGAACAAGGCATGATTCATGGATGTTTATCGCATGAAAGTGGTCTTGCAGCTGGATTATTAGCGACATATGTTAGAGCTCTTTTACAATAATCACTAAGCGAAAATTTTTCGAATTATTTTTATAAGTCAAAAAAAAAGAAAATTTAATAAAATATCGTTAGTAGGTTCATTCAATTCTTTAATATTGAAACGTTAGTTATAAAAATAACAAGATTATTTTCTTTAAGTAATAATCATTTCATGTGAATGAATATTTCATCTAATGTATTTTTAACAATAATTAATTTACTTGTATAAATATAAGAATTTGTGACAGTTGATTAATTTCTTTCAAAAATGAAATAATAAAAGTTTTTTTATTTTTTTTTTTTTTGTACCAGAGATAATCATTAATATTTCTCGTATGAAACTATTACTTCTAATTTTTGTTGAAGACAAGTACATTACAATGTCATTGTACAAAAATAACAATTCAGAAGAGGATTAATAAAATTTCAATAAATAAACAATAAACTAAAACGAGACAAAAAAAAACTTAAACGCAAAAAATAGAACTGAAACAGACATCGTAAATTTTAAACGATATGTATTACAATCTATTAAAACAAGAAAAATTCTTAATTTGAATTATCAATGTTGTTTTTTTTTTTGTTCAATTCTACATGTTAAATTCGATACAATATCTATTGAAATATAAATCTCTTGTATCTAATTGAATTTAAATGAAATGTAGTTGATATATTAATAGACATTTGATAAGTAGAGTATGTCTGTATTGTTCATATGACCTTTAATTTCAATCTTGTCTTCTTTTGAGTTCTTACATATGTAAATTATTTTTCAAACAAATCAAAGTTCATTCGAAAATTTTTTTTTTTTTTTTAATATCTAAGAAATAAATTTAAAAGTTCAATTCTATTTGAATTAATTTCAATGAAATAGTCATATCTTTAATAAAACTTCATTTTCATATTCTTACCACCAAAAACATCAATAAAATTTTTTTTTTTTTTTTTTACTTTCTCTTTCACTTACTCTTTCGTATGGCATCATTCGCTCAAGGTAACATAACTGGTTCGATCGTTGATATTTACAAACACTAAACGACAACGAACAAGTATTGCAAACTAAGAGAAGAGAGAGAATAAGGAGAAAAAACGAACAAGAGTCAATAACAAAAAACGTAGAGATGCATGTGCTACTTCTCTCGACTCTTTCGCGTAATATTATTCAAGTGTTGCAAAATGAGGCAAGAGAAAAGGCGAAACGAACCATTGAAATTACTTTGCTCTTTAGATCACGTAGAGGAGCTAAGAGTACGATGGTAATTGTATAGTCTGTCTTACACTTCGACTTGTCAATCAATACCAACACATCAAATATTAACAATTAGAAAACAGACATACATATATATATATATATCTATATAATATTACATAGAAATTCTCTTTTTCTTTCTCTTTTAAAGTAACAATGTTTAAAAATATTCCAATAAAAACAATCGATAATAGTTATGAAAAACAATTCGATAATGAACAACTTGTTTCAATGATACATCGATTGGTTGATGAACGTGATGTATTATGGCGTGAAAATGAATATTTAAAAGCAAAATTAAATGAATCAATATTAATTGAAACAATTAATGAAATGAGAAAAGAACGAGATATATTATTAAAATTATTATTAAATTTATCAACAAATAAAAATAATGATGAACAATTACAATATCAAAATTATTGTACAGACGAACAGTAAATTTTAATTATTTAAATATTATTAAGATTATTAATTGAATTATCTATTTTTATTTTAGTATCAATGGTTATTCTAATGATATACTTCCACCACCTCCTTATCAAACATATAATACAAATTCAAATAGTAAATCACTACATAATAGCAGTCCATCAACTAAAAAACTTTCGTTTCATTCTCGTCAAAATCAAACTCCAATAGCTAATCCTGTCTTATCAATACCTGTAACTGAACTAAAACCATCTCGTCGATCACATCGAACGAAACAAAATTTTGAACAACATCAACACCAACAGCAACAACAACAACAACAACAACAACAACAGCCAACAGTTATTTATCGTGTTGAAGGTACCAAAGAATGTTTAATGAATCCAAATGAATTATCATCTGTATTTGCGCATGTTAAACATTCTCATCCAAATAAGAAAATTGTTGTTTATAAAACTCCAACAACACCACAAACACATGAATTTAATCAATTAGTTGATGAAATGTGTATAAAACATGGTGTAGAATTAAAACATAGTCAGAATTCACCATTTCAACAATATCGTTCACAATCGTTACAAGACTTAACATCATCAGCCATACTACCACAACGTGATTTTGATTTTCAATTTCAACCTATTGAAAAACAAGAACCAATACGAACAAGTTATACAAAAAAATAGATAAATAAATTTATACAATAAAAAAAAAAAATAAACACCAAGTTCATTTTTTTTTTCGCTTGACTAAATGTTTTCTTCGTTTTTTTTTCTCTATTCGTATGCTTTTCTGTATATTATTTCTGCGTTTTCAAGAAATACACGATCAAAGAAACCACATGAACGTGTTGGAGCTAAATCATAATGAACTTTAGGTAATGGAATCTTCAAAACAAAATGATAATAAGCACAAACAATACCAAATGCTCGACCAACACCTAAAATTAAAAAGAATTTGCTTTTTATAATTATTTTCTTTTTTTTTTGCAAATGTAAATTTACAAAACTATCGTTTAGTTAACCTTGAATAAAGATCAAATATTTTTAATTCATTATTTAACATACCAGCATTACAGTGAACATATACTTTATGTCCTTTGTCTAATATTGTTTTCAATACTAATGTTGCTTGTGGTGACATTAATTCTCTTCCAGTTGATGATAAATCTGTAATTGGTACCCATAAAAATAAAAGACCTGCTTGTTCATATGCTTTTCTTAATATATCAACACTTGCTAAATCAAATTCATTATTTGGTTCTGGTACATGATTATCACCAAGAATTCCTTGACAATTTCGTTCAATATCTTTAACAACTTGTAAATTAAGAACAGCTGTTATACCTAATGATCGACCTAATTCATTTTCAATATGTGTCAATAAACGTGGACAACTACCAACATATAAATTATCACTAACACGACCATAATGCATTATTTTATGAGTAACTACTTCATTATAAAAATTTGATGTATGTGTTTTTTCATCAGTTGCTAAATAGAAATATATTTTTATAGAAAAGAAAAATAAATATAGATTTTTGTGTTCTTTTACCACCAGTTTTAACATCAATCCAATAATCAATAGGTGTATAATAAATTTGATCAACTAAATTTTTAACATCATCTCTTAACCATACTCGAGTTTCTTCTCTTTTTCCTTCCCATATTTCATCATTGAGAACATATTTATAATCAAATTCTTTAATATCACTTGATAAATTAATATCTAATCGATAAAAACGTGGTTCATTTGATAATTTTACTGGCCGATAAAATTCTTTAGTAAGAAGATTAAGTTGTGGTGCTTTTTCTATAGACCAAGAACCTAATTCTGGTAAACTACCACAAAGACGAATAACAGCAGTTGAATTAAGAATTGCCGTGATTAACGCACCAGGAACAATTAAACCAAATGTATATTGCATTTTTATCATTGAATTATTAAAATTAAAATATACAAGGTTTTTTTTAGAGATTATTTACTTATGAAAAATTGAGAATATGATGCATCTAAAGAAAATAGTATAAATCAAGTTTAATAAGTTCATAGGAATTCTCTATATTGAACAAAATAAAAATAGATAATTTAATCTTCAAAATATTATTTGTTTATATTTATTGCAATAAAAAAATATATTTATTCACAATGCTGGAGTACATTTAAATGAGAGAGAAAAAATGTCCTTATACTCATGTATGACGTAGTTCATTTTCCGCTAACGTTTGATTGGTTCTGTTTGTTTCAACTGCTTGACTTTTATTAGATTCTGTGAGCGCCACTAGTCGATACATGAGTATCTTTACTTGATACTTTTCCTGTCATTTTTGTGCCATTAGTTTCATTAGCTGTTGCTACTGCTGATATATCTGTTTTAATCGTAGTTGTACCTGTTGATTGATGAAGAGTTGATGCTTGACCTAAATATTTTGCTTGACTTGTAAGATCATTTGTTTCTAATGCTGCTCTTGATTGTGCTTCTTGTAAAATATCAAGTTTAAGACTAGCTGCTTTTTTATTTAATAGATCAATATCATTTTTAGCACCTTGTAATATATCACCTTGTAATTTATTTAATTCTTTTTCAATATCAGCTATTCGTTTTGCTTTATTAGCATCAATTTCTTCAACCATTTTTTGTAATCGTAAACGATATTCAGCATCAATTTGATAGGTCTCTTCATTCGCTTTTCGAAGAAGTTCTTCTTGTTGTTGACGTGTACGTGCAACAATCAGATCGATTTCACGTTGAATTTCTTCATCGATTTTTGCTGTTTGTCGATTAGCATATTCATTGATTTGTGCATGTGTTGAACCTACAAAAAAAATATAGATTTTAAATAATATTTCAATTTTGAATTCAAGAATAAAAATCAAATAACTAACTTAATTTCGAAACAAGATCAGTAAGTTTCTGTTGATTAGCAATTGATACAGTTGAACTAACATCTGATGAAACAGTCGATTTAATATTGACACCATCATGTTGTATTGTTCGACCTTCGATAATATGTTCATCTGTATTAATATTTATTGGTTTATTATCAGTTTTACAACCAAGTTTTTCACCACCAAGTATTAATGAATTACATGTTTCACTTTCACATTTTTCATCACTTTTATGTGAATGACAATGTTCATCATCTTTTCCTAATAATTTATTAATAAATTGGTTCATTTCTTCAAAAGAAAAAATTACCAAATGAAGAAGCACAATTATCTATATATATATTTACAAAAAGAAAAGTCAAACTCACTTGTAGTTTTGTATTTAAAAGCAACGTTTCGATAGAGAATGTATAAACGATTTGATTGATGCTATGATGGCAACTGCTTTTATATGGTGAACAAACGCTGTCAACCAGAACGACTGTACTCAGTCACACTGTATTCTTTTTTTGTATTTTAGTAAAAAATCATTTATATATAAATAGATATTACTCGCATCTTAGATAACATTCTCCGTTGCTCTTTTTTACTTTTCTTATTAGGTTAATGAGTAAATAAAAAATCAAGGATTTTGTCCTTGTTTTCATTTTTATTTTTATTCAATAAACAAAAAATAACACACAAGCTTTTTTCTATTGCTATCATTATTTTTGCCATTTAAAATGCGCATATGCACGGTTTAGTTCCGCATTTCGATGTATTTCTTGTTTTTTTTTTACTGTTCGTCCTTGATTTTGTGCTGCATCCATGATTTCTTTTGCAAATAGCGTCCAAAATCTTTGATCATGTGGTCGTGCATCATGTGTACTATCAATTAATAATCGAATAGCAGTATAAGTACCACGTGTTGGTGACATGGGTATTGGTACAGAATATAGTGTACCACCTTTAGCTATTCGTGTAAGACCTATGATATAATAGAAAACAAATTAAGTATCTCGAAAAAAAAAAAATTTCTTGTTGTTTAATTTAATTTACATACGAACAATAGGTGTTGCATTTTTAATTGCTTGCTTAAGTAAAGTAACTGGATTACATTCAATTGAATCACGTTCTTCTTGTGTTTTAGCTCGATTATATTTTCCTATTTGTATTAATTTTATTGTACGAAATGTTTTATGCATTAATTCTTCAACTAATTCACGATCTCCTTCACGTAATAAAATACCAATAACACGTGATATAATTGGATCATGAAAACAAGAAAATGATTGATATGTTGATATAACAGGTTTAATAGGACGATAATGTCGTTCATCTAAATCATCCATATTAAGTAAATCTGTACGTGTTTGAACAGGATCAACATGTGTTTCATATTTTTCCCACCAAGTTGAATTTTTTTGACCATGATATTGTGTTTGTCCAGCTGTTAATGATGGTATTGTTAAATGAATAAAACGTTTCAATTGAAATAATGAATGACGAATTAGATATGAAGATTTTAACATTATTTCTAAATAAATCATTTAACATATAACTTGTTTTATTATCTTTGTTCTGAACGTTTTTTTTTTCTCTTCATTTTTTTAATTATCAAAAAAAAAAAAAAAAACATTAACCCCTCACACACAAATTAACAACGAATGAGTTTAATATATATATGTATATGTATAAAAAAGAAAAAGACAAACAACAACAGGAAAAATGCCGCCAGATCATCATCACTGCACACAAATAAAGAATTGAGTTATAATATATATTTATTTACAATGTTCAGATAGCCATTTGAGACCTTCTGATAAACCCGTACCATGCAAAGCTGAACATGGCATTATAGCATATGGACGGTTTAATTTATCTAAATGTAATGCTTGCCGTATTTCAGCTGGTTGCATACATCCAGGCATATCTTGTTTATTACAAAATACAAGCAGAACAGTATTACGCATTTCACGATCATTAATGATTTTTTCTAATTCACGACTTGCTTCTTCCATACGTTCACGATCACATGAATCAACAACAAATATAAGTCCTTGAGATCCTGTATAATAATGTCGCCATAATGGACGAATTTTATCCTATTAAAAACAAAAATTAAACAAATAATATGTAAAAACATCAAGAATCTATTATTAGAATTTTATATTTATTAAAAATAACAAATAGCATATAGACTGAAATCTTTGCAAGGCAGCCATCATTATTAATAAATAGATCACAAACTTTTTATTTAAACTAGCACTAGAATAATATACGTATGATATGGTTTTTATAGATTTTAGCCAATATTTTAGCTAAACAAATAACCGAAAATATCCTACATATTGTCATCGCTGTCTAGACATTCATCATTGTAACGATTGACCTACAAGTAATTACGCTGTTAGTATTTTTAAGGTTTTTTCCATCTAATTGAGATATCTTCTTTTTTTTTTGATCAAAAGATATCGCTTGAAGTTCTGCACAAAATCCGTATATGATTGGGGAACAAAAATAATTTTAGATATATTAGAAAAACAGATAAAAATGAAAATGATAGTGAACTAGCGAAAATTTTTCATGATTTGTCTGGAATGGTTTCATTAAAAAAAATTAATTTGTGAATAAAAATAATCCAGGATACTAGCTCTATCAATTAGTTATATCATTTCAATCGTCCATGCACAACTCGAACAAAAGTGAAATGACATCTACTATTCAACGAACGTGTGTTAATAAGAAAAGTGTCTATTTAAACCAAACATGTACAACTGTTATCATATGAAAGTTGTGACTATTTCCCATAACTGGAAATTAAAGAGTCAATCGTGACTAAACTTAGTAAAAATTTGATCTATAGGCTATTTTTGTGTATTCATATCGAAAAATGATTAGCCATTGAATCTGTCTGACTTGATTCAGTTAGATTATACTTTATGAGATGAACTGACTGAAACTATGAATTGAACTTTCATAACAACAAAAGCAATATTGATAGACGGAACCATATTCTTTTGCCAAAAATTTAACAAAAAGATAAAATTTTACATTCTATACTTGATTTTACTGTACGATAATATTTGATGTAAAAGCGATGGAGAAACTTTTATTCGTTGAATAAAATATATCATTTTATGCAGAGAATATCAAGCACTATCTTTTAATAGAAAAGATGTTTCAATTAGATATAAAATATATGAGAGATAGTTTGAAAATTCTAACAGCACAATTACTTCTGGACTACTCATTATAAAACATAACTATTTAATATAAATATTTTTTCAGTTTGATAAGACCTAAAACAAACTCAATATATATTATTTGAATGATTCATTGTCAACTTATCCGCTTCACTTAAAAGCCTCTTATCACATATTAATATTTATTTTCGATATATTGATGTATGGGAAGTATTAGAAAATACTTTTTTTTGTATACTGTAAGTACGACAGCATACAAGTATATGACGCATACAAAACGGAAGTACGGTCAACATATGTGTCAAACAAAGATGAGTCTATAGAAATCAAATTTTTTTGAAAAAAAAAACGAATAACTCATCTATCTTTTAAAATAATTTTTAGACATTTTTCTCTTGTATACTTACTTGTCCACCAACATCCCACACATTAAATTTAACATGTCCTAATAAAACAGTTTCAACATTAAATCCAACAGTTGGTATTGTTGTAATCGATTCTTTGAGACGAAGACGATAAAGAATTGATGTTTTACCAGCATTATCTAAATAATACAAAGATTAAATTAAATTTTATTGATTTTTTTTATAGAAATTCTACCAAGACCAAGCATTAATATTCGATAATGCTTCTTGCCAAATATTGAACCAAACATATTCCCCATCGTTTTTCTTTTTTAATGAATAATTTTTGTTTCTTAATTCAAATAATTGATGCCAGTTTTGATAAAATAAGAAATTAAATTTACTTGTTGTTATCTAAAGAGCATTGAATGTCTATGTCTACTATTACATATGTTAACTTAATACAAAAAAATGCTATGATCAAACAATGATTCATCATCAATAAGACGAAACCAATTTATATTTATCTAGTTACCAATAGAAATACAAAGAGGTCACTAGTAAAGGTTGTTGACATGACAACAGACAATATAATGAAAATTAACACGTGTAAAATTTCATTTCTAATTTAAAATAATTTTTTTAGCAATGTCTAGCGCTTTGGTAAGTTAAGATTTATACATATTCAATGAAAAATATTTACATTTTTATTTGTACATATAATATTCTTGAAATAGAAAAGATTAGAATCTTTTCATACATTATCATTAAATAATTATTTAATGTTTAATAAAAATGCACAATCAAAAAATTCTACTAAACAAAAAACTAAAAAATCAAATTTTGAAAAAATGACTAAAGAACAAGTAACTTAGATCTTAATATCAAAAGAAATTGATAAGATTAATAATAAAGTATCGAAGAAAACAAAATTAAATAAAAAACGTACTACAACAAAATCGAAGCGAAAAACGAAAACTAATGTATGCAAGAAAATTATTTTCAATATTTTTTTGCTGTTGATTTTGTGTTTTAATAATTTTTTTTTTCTGAATGATAAAATAATTCTATGAATCTATTTAGAAATCAGCAACACCAAGTAATAAAAGTGCAAAAGCCAAAAAGAAGAAAGAAGAAGAAGAACGAAAGAAAAAAGAAGAAGGTAATGATTTATTATCATCGTATGGAATTGTTTTTCGAACTTATCAGATAAGAAAATTTTTTATCATTTATTTTCGATTAAAGAAAAACCAATATGTATGTATTCTAATAGTCATATTACCGAATATTTAGACTATAAAATGACATAGATGAATGAAGTTCTTTTGCATTTCATAGACAATTTAACTTTTCCGAAAGTCATATATCATTCTCAAAACAAAAACAATACAATTCTAAATGGTATTTTGATGCATCGGAAATTTCCCTTCTTTTTTTCTACCGTATGCAGACTACTATCAAAAGTTCAGAAAAAGGGAATAAATTGTTTTTGATAAGATAAGACATTACTGAGATTTATATGAATTACAATTACGCTTTTATTATGACTTTACAAATAGTTTTGAAAAAAAAGAAAAAGTCGAAATTTGAGATTTTTTGCTCGAGATCGTGTATAAATTAAAATAGATACTAAATCATAAGTCGTAGAAATCTCATTTTTATTTCTAACAATAACGAATAAAAATAGCCGCAATTTCTAAGTATTGATTTCCACCAGGATTTCAATGATCATATCTAATAGTTAGCTTAACCTGACTCTAATCGAAATCGAAAAACTCCAATTATTGAATTCTTACCTTCAAGCTTCTGCTCTTGTTCAAAATTTTTCCTACGGATTCAGTTATATATCACTAACCTGAATACGAAATGATCTTTATTAAAAAATTGTTCTAGATATGTTTCTTGAAAACAATGGCAGTTCCATTAATTACTTTAAGGTTTTCTCCCTAGACAAAATTTTCTTTTCAAGAATATAAAGCAAAAATATAATGAATTATCTTGAACGACTTCAACATATCATAACAAGTCAATATATAACTTTCATATCATATAATAGACAAAAAATTTTTAGAAAATAATAAATGAGAAATTTCTTATCGATAAAAAGTGTTAAATTAGTTTTTATTCTATCATCAAGTAATATTCTTTGCTTATATGTTTTCATTTTGATGAAATCTAAAATTGATAGTTTATATCCTAGAATTTTAGCTGTCGAGGTACCTATTAAATAACATCAAATTTGGAAAAGTTTGACAATTATTTTTAGAAATAGTTTTTAATGTTTTATTAGTTAGAGTACAAAAAAAGTGCTGCTTGGGGAAAATTTGATAAATTAAGTTTATCGATAGAAAAAAAAGATTAATCGTTCAGTCAATATTTATAAATCTGCTCTTCATCTTGATCTATCATGTACTACAAAAGATCAAAGTGTTTTTCACTTCTAATTTTGTAAAGTATAGCACATGTTATGAACATAAATTACTGAATATATATTAATTGATAACAGATGTGTTCATTCGTTTTTCACCTTTTTAAATGAACTCGTTAGAATCATTAGTTTGTGTTCTTTCTAAATATGTATTCAAAATTTTTGTAGAAATTATGATTCGATCTTTTAAACGCTTGTAAAATAAGTTTAGACGAACTTTAGTGTGTTAAAATTTATTCAATGTAGAAAAAGAAATGAACGAGAAGAAACATTTCTCAATACAACGGGATATTAATGATTAGATACCTTTAGGACATTTGTTCATAGCGAATGTTTTGATAAGAAACTCTGCTAGTCTATATAATTTTCTCGATTTATATGAAAAATATACTTGCAAAGAAAGCTCAGACAAGAAACCATCAATTTTCTTTGTTCAAACTTAATTTTCATGCCGCGAAAAGGTTAGTTTATAACTTTTAAACCATAAGTCCTACAAAAATTTTCAATCCATATTCACAAAGAAAACAAAATTTTGATTCTAATTCAATCTTTTC